TCTTGAAAATTACGACGCACGTTATCTTTCTGTGTCTTTGAAATTTAAAATAAATATATTTTAAAACTTTTATCCGCGATTGAATATTAACAATAATGAAATGATCTATACTAATATTTTAAAATAGAAAGTATAATGTTTGCCTTTTTTAATTAAATAAGCTCCGGGACTTGAGGACCGTTTTTAAGACCTTTCACCTCCGGGAAGCTACGTCATACGCGGATGGCTATAATTTATGCGGGCGAAATCGCGGGAAAACAGTAATATAAAATATTTTTAAATATTTATCAAATGTAATATTATTATATTTAATAAATTTAGCATTTAGTAATATTATGCTGAAAAATATTCTTAATGTCCCTAGCACTCTGAGATGGGTCAAAGTGGATTTCTTTCGCATTTTGTATTAAAAACAAATTTATTTATTTTTTATCAACTAAAACATATCATAAAAATGATTTTTGTTTTTGTGAAATGTGAATATTGAATATATTTAACACCTCATCCAACGGTTTATTGAGAAGAATTTGCGATGATTAACTTTTATCTCAATGGTTGCGTACACCTCATTTAGCTTACGCTGAGAATCTGTTTACATTATGTCGAGAGTATGCCATCACAATAAGGTAGAGTCCCGGAGAAATGTCTTATCTAGCATAACAAGCTGAGTATCCAGCCACATATTATATAAACAAGTAATGGAGCTTACAATTCATTACAAGCAAAAACTGTTCTGTTGCGTCTATACAATCTTAAACACGAACATAAGGCCATCCAACTAGTCTCATACTGCAATTAAAGTAACGTACTCTTACCGGAACGACATATCTGACTAAATGTTTCTATCCTTTAAGAGTCGTACAGTTACATGCGTCTGCGCATAGGTACATTTCGTAATTAAAGCTATCGCCAACGGCTCTCTATAAGGACTCGGGAAATTATTTAAAGCGTTCCCATGTAAAAATTGGATCACGTTGACATTTATGATCAAGTCTGTATTTGATATAAACTTTTTTGTCCGAAATATGGAGCGATTGCAATGTTTTATTTTTCCATTACAATTGCTCCATATTTTTAAATATTATGCGATAAACGAGTTAAAAAAAATATATGATCATAGTTTTTCTCTTCCAAATTAAGTTTTACCGCAGAGATATGGAAACAATTAAATAACGATTACAGCGAGACGGTTTTATGCAACACCTCAAAACGGGGAAGTTATATTAATAGAGTTGGACATTATTTTTCCCGGAAGTAGATCGGTGTGAAGTGTAAACACAATCTAGACATGAAACCTTAGTTTTAAACACTAGTTTTAAACTGCTAGTTATTTATCATCGACGACAAAGATATTCATTTTTTCTCTTAAAACATTAGAAACAATTTTATGTGACACAACGGAAAATACATCTTATGTATACATCATTAAAGAGGTCGTTTTAATTTTTTTTTTACAAAATAGCTCACGAGAAAGCTATGTCGTTATATCAAAGTACATGTAGTTGGCTCGATTTCATGAACTATGTCCGCATCATTAGGGCTGCGATCCACTCGCTCATTAGCAACATTTTCACATAAAGCGATGTTCATTTACGCACAGTAAGGCTACCGCGTAATTATAAACAGTTATTTCAGTGAGATGGCAACTCATAATTGCAGTGTTTAGCTGTCACCCTTTTAGTCAGATACCTCGATCGGTGATTATCTTGCGATATTCACTAAAAAATATGTGCCGAAAACCCTCGACGTTTGGATAACAAAAATTTATATTTTAAATTACTCCGATTTGAATTACGCAAAATCCCATTCAGTTTTTATAAGCGCACAGCGGTATCATCACTTGGGGCCTTTTTAAATTTAATTTAAGAAAAATTAGCTTCATATGCGGTTCGATCGCGCGCTATTATCGTTTATAGCGATTTTTAGTTAATGAAAAATGTATCACCACCCTTTGCAAACACTTGGCAATGCATGTCGTCGCCATAATCGCTCTTATTATGCGCAGTCAAATTTTACGACCACATCGCTTGTTAGCCGCTCTAACGAATTGATGAAGCAGACAAATTAAACCTCCATCATGAGTGTATTCAAGACACCTTTTCTACGCGACGTCATTCAGATATTAGTTACCGTTAATGAAATACCGCGACTAAACAGCAGCGACTTCACAAAAGATGCGAATCTCCTTCGATTTTATTTGTATCATCATTTCGCGAGCGCTCGTTATCGAAAAAATAATGATTGCATCCAAATTTGACGCGTTTATAATCAGAATTTACATAATGATTACGCTGGCGCCCTGTATCGAGCGCGCGCGTACTTTTCTTGGTTTTTGAAACGAAATTCTAGTTAACGAGAGCGATTTCTTTTTAAAAAGGTTAACAAGATCTCTCGTCTCTTGTGAACGGGCGAGCTGTTAAAAAATAAAGGAACTCTTTGTTTCTCGGGTAGTCGGACCGACCTCCGACGCGGTCCCTACTTTTTTATACCCCCATATAACCTGTGTATTACCTACGTGTAGGTATCTACGTTTTTTTATGGCCGCTCGGTCAGTTCTTCAATGGGCTAAGGAATTCAATCGAGTATCTCCATTGTTGCTATGGATACAATTAGCTTAAGAAACGTCGCTTCTAATTGATGATAGCAGCTGGTCTTTGAATTAAAACGAATTTAGTATGACGACCAAAAAATATAGATTTATAAAGCTGTTTGGAAAACTTTCTTTCAGTCGCGTGGCCATTGTTGTTTTTATGTCCGGCTATTAAGTTGATCAGGCTTATCTTAATAATAATATTTCCCAACCAACTTTCAATGCGAGGCTCTCAAGAAAATATTTGTCTCTGCAGTGACTCTATGCCTTTTACGATCTGACCTGTTATTTTTTTGGTTGAACTTTTGACGGCGGTCTCGCGGTTGCTTTTGACCGGCTCACTAATAAAATGTTATGATCGTGTGTTTAACGCGTGTGTGCTGGTGTCGGACCTTCTTTTTGACATGATCGTTATTGCCCGAGTCCAGCTTTGCGGTCGCCTTTTGTACCACGAGCCAACTAATAAATTCGAGTTTTTATTCAAATTTGAACTTTGTTTCCTTTGTATGTAAAACATTTTTATATTATTGTGCTTATTAAAAGGCCGTCCACCGCGTCCGTTACAACATTATTATCATGTCAATTATGTAGCAGTATAATGCCTATAACTAAATCACTCCTAGTTAGTCCTCGCGTTTCACAGCGATGGCGTTTGTCGATGCAAATGATGCGTTTTAGGGCTTCGAAAGGAGATAATGTTTTGTCTCTTTCTGTCTGAAAAGAGGGGCGTGTGGTAATCTGCCGTGCAGGCTCTAGTTAAATAATAAGCGGCGAAGCGCCCTATAAGTATAATTTTGTTTTATTTGACCGGCAGCCCGGGGCGAGACGAAATCGCCGCAAAACTGGCTAACGAGACCCGTAAAAACTCACGCATACATTTGAACTAATTGTGTGAGTGTATTGATGAATTTGACTTTGAGTTTTACCGTTCCCACAGGCGATCATGTTGTTTGTAACGAAATATAATAAAAATTATGAGGCACTTTTATGTATTATTATTTTATTTTATGAAGAATACTATAGCTGTTTATGATTTTATTAGGTGGTGATTGGTAGGGCAGTGAATTATTACAATGCTCTTTCATGTTAATTAATGCTAAATTAAATTATAATAACAAAGAAAATTGTAGTGAAAAACCAGATGTTTGGAAATTCTCAACATCTTTTATACATTGGCGCGAAAGATTACATGCTTTCATTAGTCATCGCGCCTATAGACATAACAGTGTGATTCACACATTGACTCAAAACACTGAAAAAAAAATCTCAAGTCAAATGAGTAATTTTGTAAAAATGCGCTGTTAAACTCTATCATGACTTCAACAGTTAAATACTACTTATATATTGGTGTAAATATGCGATAAAGTACAAGGTCATCCATCGTATATTTTTGAACCTATTATGTAATTTTAAACATTGTTGATAACAATCTAAGCTTAATAAATTATTAAATTTTGATCCAAGATTAATATAAACATCTTTTTAAATATATATAAAAAAAATATACAAATTTACGTCTATATGGTACTAGACTATATAGCACTTTCAAAGAAGCGCAAGTAAGTTATATAATCAAACAGTTAAGGGTTAATGAAACGAAAGTGAATAAACTCGATTACTAACTTATCGATCGAAAGTCGATACAAGATCGGAAGAGTATCCGCTCATCCACCGTTAAAGCGTACATTAGTCATTCAAACTGACCTGTCGGATAATTAGCAAGGCTGTCCACCTCTGACTTGCGATGTATTTGATGATATTTATTCATCAGATGTACATCGATTACCATAATCGATAGCATCGCACGCGACGCATATGGAAACCTTTTGTCAGTTTTCATTGAAAAGAAAGATTTGTAGTGACGCCAAAGATTCAATTGTTTTTTTTACGATTGATTTAAATACTGTACATTAATTTATTTTGATAAGAATAGAACACATTGTTGTTGTTTTATTGTTTCCATATTGTAATTTTTCGCAATATTGTTCAATTCATAACACGATAAAACTCGTATTACATATTAATATCATCTTTTATGCCTGGGAATAATAATGATCCCGAGATCCCGTAATCAATCATTCTTTTTATAAATATTTAAACATGACTAGCTATTCACACAACTTAGTATACCTACTGCAATATCTCTATTCAGAATTGACAATTTGTTAAATTAAAAATAGTCTAATTAGGAGACAAATATAATACAAAATATATTTTGTCCGATTTGTCTTTTGTTAAATTTTTGAAGTATAACATTAGGGCTAAGAACACAAATCATTGCATAATGACAACTTTTCCAAACCCTATTGTCTTTAATCGGTTACAGGATTGCAATTGAATCGTATTGTTGGTTTTGTTGACGAATAAGTTATAAAACCTATTCGCTCTAAAACTTTTTTTTATTTCACAGGGTTCGTCAACGTCTGTGCGGCAGTGTGCCTGTTACTACTCGTCGGTGGGCTATCTCCACGCTCTTCAGCGGCACCACACAGAACTCGCACCATGGATCGACAGAAACGTGCCGCAGAAAACGAAAATAACTTGTGGCGTTATCCGTGCAGTTACGAGACCACAAATGTAAGTAATTTTTGAAAAAAAAATAGATGGATGGCTAATAAGAGGAGATGAGAAACATGAAAGTGTTTTTCTTTTTGTCATTTCATATTTAAAAGTATTCCGTCGTTTTAACATTATGCGGTGAATAATGCATGGTAACGGCAACTTTTGATTCGAAATATTCAACCATTTTCAGTAAAATATTTTGATTGTTCACTACTTACGTTTTTCTGTTTCTTTTCTTTTTTAATGTAATCAATATCATAAATTTTGTTTTTTTTTTCAGCCTAAACCATACGTGCCAAAAGACGCAAAACATGTCGCGCGGCAAGCTAAAAATGTGTACGAGCAGGCGGCGAACTACAAAGATCAATTCGTAAGTGTGTTATAATACAAATTTTTTGTTCTTTCTGTTTTTCGCTTTCGTTGATCGATAGGCTAGGCACCGCGCTTGGTGCGTATCATTATGCCTACCGCGTGTCGCTAAATAAACGGACGGACCTGTGGAAGGACAGTATACTAATAAAGTGCGGCAGCTAAAATTGCGCAGGCACTTTACGGTATGATGGCATTTGTATTATGAAATGTTTATTATGTAATTAATATCAATATTATTTGTATCCAACGCTAGCTAATGAAAAACTGAAATGTCGATTCCAAAAATATTAATATATACAAATCTGATAATAAAGCTAGACTTGTCATCAAAATACTCCTCTTTATCTTTAACTTAATATATTATTAATTACTAGAATCAGGTAAAAATTACAAGTTTATGCAAATATTATAAAGGACGCTTATCGAAGAAACAAATCGGTACCGACATTTCGCACCTAAAACGGTTTCCCGAAAACTTGACCCATTAAGGATTCTCCGGCGCTTTCTTACCGGCGTTCTCTCGGCGCGCGCGCAGATCGCATCGGCGCGGGCGCCGCGCTCCCGCCCGCGTCCGGTCGACGCTTCCTCCCTTTTAAGAGGCTGAGGACACTGAATGATTTTTAGAAATCGACACGCCCCCTTACATAATTACAGGTGTCTACGCTAGTGTGGGTTAGCTCATTGCACGTTCCTCAGAAGAATAACAAATGCCTATCGGTTCAGCGCCAGCAGATAAACTTTGTACTAATAACAATGACGTTTTATAACCATCAAGTGCTTTGAGTTAGCTGTCTAAAGTGCTTACACAATAGGTGGCGCTGAATTTTTTTAAAAGAAAGGAATAATTTCTTTTTACTCCAGATTTTTATGGGGCTTAGAAAGGACAAGTATGTTTTTTCTTTTTGGGTCGACAAAATAACATGCTATTATTTTGTCTGTTTCATATTTCAGAATTTTATTCTAATTCATTGATATTTTAAAAAATGCTTTGCATTGAATAATGAAAAGATTTAAAATTTAAAGAAATATGAAATAACTATATAAAATCACTTATGATACCACACATCACATCACATTTCTTCACTCGATTTTAAACCTTAATGTAGTGAAGGTAGAGTTAAAATAATTGCGATAATTTGATAGACTGTAGTAACCTGACTTGCTGCTGTGTGTACCTGATAATGTCGGCCAATCAGAATAAACCAAATATCACGTCATGGCACCTAATCCCCGCCGAGTTTGACTGAGACGGACTTTCATACCTTATTCTCATTACAAGAAGAGTCATTATACGTTTTAATTGTACGAATTTTTGGTAGGTCGGCTTTACGTAAACGAATATTCACCATATGCAATATTAATTGGAAGTCATTGTAGTAAGTACACATATCCATATCGAACTTTCCGGAGGAGGAGAAAAAAAGCAATTTTAGAATCGTTTTTATGAGAATATAGGGTAGACGCGCCTGTTTCTACCATTGTCTTGCTGTCGAACATTTCATGGCCCTTTTAAAAATAATTAATGCTTTAAGAATTGGACTCTACCTGATCTTTGGACTGGAGTTAATAAAACATATCCTGTTTTCATAACTTGAAGAAAAGTTATTTTTTCCTCTAGCCATGATCCTTTTATGGAGGTGGAATGATATTTTGTAATACTGACGCATCATCAAAGTATAGGACTGGTTGACCGGTTAGGATAAAACCATTAAAACACAATCATTTTATTAATCCCATAAATATAGATGATTTCAAAGTTGCCGTCAGACATTTTTTATTTGATACTGGAAAGCGAACTGATTCAAAAACAATATCTTAAAAGTCTATCCATATTTTAAATAGTACATTAAGGATAAAGAGCTTGTAGGGAAGGCAAAGTCATCCAAAAACACTCTTTTTATGAACTCCGAAACAATACAGTTTTTACAGATAAACTTATCATTGGCTTAGATTGTTTTTGTCATGGAAAATGTATTTTATTTTAAAAGAAAATTGTTTTCGATTTATAAAAAAATATATTCTTGCATAACATTGTAGCTGTAATTAAAAATATAGAGAAAAACTGTTTTGTCCATCGAATCCCTATTAAGTAAGAATCCCTATATACTAACATACAGTTAATAAATACATCGAAGTGCCTAAGGATTATGGGATATATGATAGCAAGACTATACTAGCTGATTTTCATAACAAATAAGAATCATAATTATTGCCTTAACTTAAAAAATACTGAAGCCGTAATTTTCACGTCATTGTGTTGATTTGTAAAATGTCCACACCGTTACCCAGCAATAAGTATAACTGTGCCATAAACAATGTTTAATTTTATTTATAAATCCATTTTATAAATCCATTTTCTAATTGGGTTGTATAAGGATGTGCGTTATTTCTGTTACACGTTTTATACTTATAACAAATCTGCAAAAAAATAATGTCTGTACATTGAATATATTTACAAAAAAAAGAAAGAAATTGAGGGTGGTTAATAAACAATAATAGAATACGAATTTAAAAAATATTGTCTGTTTATCTGTATGTACACGTTAATTTTCGGGACTACGGGGTATATTTGTATGAAACTTATTTTGTTAATACCTGGGCAATATATGGGGTATAATTAATTTTGGAAACTTAAACGTTTGATGCACAACCACAACAGACCAGCGACACCTTAAGAAAAATTTTTGTGCCTGATCAATATATTCTGCTAAGAGTACAAAAGTCAAAGATCCAGAACATATAATGTGGTCCTCAAAGATACTAGTTATACTATAACATCGGATAAATATGACTTCTTAACAATAAATATTTTTTTTATTTATTGACATTTTTTGCACAAATACACATTGGCGTACTTAATGCCATGGCCATTTTCTACCAGTAAACCTTAGGATGATGTGGACACGGGGTTCTCTCTATTGTTGTACAGGGCAAGTTCGTGACCTTGTTGCGTACAACAAAACGCGGGAAAGGGAAAGATCTATGGTTAGCGATACGTATCGTTGTCTTTCAACGATCATGTAAATACTAAGGTTTATTGTCCGTTTTTTCGTCTACTCTAGAAACAGACAATGCAATGTGTCAAAAAGCTCTGATAAGATAATTTGGATTTAGTTTTAAATATATTAAAATTAACTTTGTACATAATAAGACGGCAATATCATTATCCATAATTTTATAGTAATTATGTATGTATGTATATACATACATACATAATTACTATAAAAATACATAAATCATAAAGTAATTAATGATTAAATGAATTTGCTTGTTCCAAACAATGAAACATTTGCTATAGAATAACTTGTTTTTAGAAGCTAATTTATTATTTATTGATAATTCTTGTAGACACAAGTAGAATGGAAATTCATCCCACAAAGGAATAGATTTGACGAAGAACGAAGAGTGAACGATTTCGGAGAAATGAGATGGGCAGAGTAGACGATTAGAGGAGGAACAAAGAGTTTTGGTGTGAAAGGTACATAAGTACAGTTAAGATAAGAAAGAGTGTTTGGAGATTTCAGCAGAGAGGATAACGTAGTTAAAGCACGCATACTTCTTCGCTTCCGGATGGACGTCCATTTTGAATTTTAACGATATAGGGACACATGATCAAATTTTCTAAGAATAAAAACGGATAGAATCTTCGGTCTCTAGAATCCAGTTAAGCCAGTGAAAAACTGACCATCCTCATACATTGCCCAAAATCTTTAGATCTACCAGAAAATGAGATAGAAACAATTTCTGAAGTACGCAAAGATATAAAAACAGCGCAGTAAACCACGGAATTCTGATCGACTTTGATATGCTGTTGAGAGAATAAAAGTTGCTGGTGTGGAACTGAAAATTACCTGTTTTTCTAATGCCTAACTTTGCCTTGTTGTTTTAAGGGTTAGCAACGTCTCTGGGCTCTATATTTTGGCACCCGAATAAAAAAAAAAACACCAATAAAGTTTATAAATTTTATCTTAAATATTATTGTTAATCATATATACCGTTGGCACCGTCAGCAGACTGTAGAATTTTGGTACAAAAAGAATTCTACCTTTACAGGTTCATTAAGTTATAACCTACTCAATCCACAACATACAATTTAAGCTTACAAAATCTTTGGTATGAGACAACACGAACGAAGATGCGGGCACCAGCTAGTGGCAAATAATATAACGGTGTAATGAATCTTTACAAGTATTTTGGCCAAACATAACCTCAGTAAAAAGTTATACGACCAAATGAAACAATAACAAAAACTTACTATAACCCAACCTTTCATCTTATTTGAGGTTGTTCTAGATATTTATTGAGCAACACATTGTTTGAATAGTTGCCTCTATAGAATAAAATTTATGAATTTCGTTGGGATCGCCAGTTTAAAGCTGCTTTCTTTATGCAGATGATACCTACCATAGTGCTTACATAGAATCCATTCAATCTGCAAATGAAGCGATAGTCATGGAGCAAGATTATGAGTGATGAAAGGCTTAAAATTCAACGTGAATAACACATAAGATATTAAACCAATGTACTACTTTGAGAATAGAACTATTCACACCGTCATTAACTGGTCGTCCTCTTTTAATTTTAAATAAGAGTGAAGTTATACTTCACGGAATTGTCACTGTAAACAAATTTATTTCGTGATTATCCTTTACCAAAGGAGGCAATTTGTCTATATAAATTAAAAAAGAAGCATCGAGCACTGTGAAACACCCATGATAGGTGTTGATCTATCGATTCAGGGGATTTCTTGTCACCGATATGAACCTCCTACAAAGCCACTGAACTAAGAGACAGCAAAATCTAACTAGTTATCTCTAAATTCATAATATGAAGATTCGTTATATATTTCATGAACACCATAATTGACAGCTTTAAGTACGTCACAGAAAACACCTAAAACGTTGTGTGAATTCTCCCAGGTATCAACAATTTGTTCTAAGATTCCGATATTCATACCGATACTGAACTTATGCATCCATGTGAGGTGAACCGTAGCTG